AGCACATCGTGTTGAGTTAGTTCTAGTCGAGTTCTAGTCATGGTCACAGTAAGCATTCTGACTATTTTTATGCACTGAAACATTGGCGTAGTATTTAAAAGATTGTGCACACTTCGCTTAGGAGAAATTTTGTACTATTAGTATGAAGCCAAATAAACTGTTCTTCATTTTGCTCATACTTCGCCCAAAAAGGCTATGATTGTTCGCGATACTACGGTAATCAATAGCGCGTCAAAGAGGATCCCCAAAAGTGGTCTAGCGTCATTGTGCTGCTCACGAAAATCATAACTATTCCGCACGGTAGTGTCCTTCCATATGACTGTGTTAATACATTACAGCCTCGGACCAAAAGCGCAGAATTGCTTGAATTTTAACCGAGGAAATTGTTCGTTATGCTAATCATAAATATTTCAGTTACAATCACAAATTTTGAACCTACTTTAACCCTCTGTGACCTCTAGTTTCGAAGTTACAGAGGGTTGAGGTGAGTTCAAACTTTCTTTTCTGTACCAGCCTAAAAATTTGACTAAAGGTTCAATTTTCGTACTCGCTACTATCTTTTATAATAAGCATGTCCAATGTCTTTTCTAGCACTAGGCAAAAAGCAGGTTTTTTGTTATTAATAAATTAGCATTGTAATATTTATTAAAGCTTCAGGCCATTATCGTCTACTCTACGTAACCATACACTAAGATTCCACAGTCTGGAAAGGATATGATTTTTAACAGCATCCCAAATAGCCTCCCCAGGACATTAAGATCGTTATTTTGGCTGTCTATCGCTTACCTGCTGTAATTCCACATTACATTCTATGCGAAGTAGATGTGTTCGTGATCGGCATGCCAAACACTCGGGCGAATTCAACTACAAACAAATTTCTGATCTTTTGATGTGGAAAATTGCGTCGGAAAATTTCATCATATACGGCAGATATAAAAATTGTGCTTCAAAGCGCATCTCGCGGCTTATATATTGTTATGGATGTCGCATGACCGAAAATCTTCATTAGCGTGATTTCCTCC